TGCTGCCACCTGCCTCGTAAGTGCAATGACCTGAGTTCAATCTCCTGTACCAGAAAAAAAAAAAAAAAAAGGGCAGCTACTTATGGTAAAGAAGTGGGGGATGTGGGACTGAGGCTCTGGCTGGGGATCAGGCCACACTAGGAAGCACTGGGTCAGCCTTGCTTTTTTTCCTCCTAGAAAAAGAATGTTCAAAGTATGACAGGCACTAACTGCCAAAGGAAGTCTAAAAAGAATAACCACATTATGGGATATTTTTAGCCTTTCTTTTCATAAATGTTTTGTCACTGCTTTCCAAATAATTCCAAATCATGAAAGTTAGTCAGAAGAAGAAATGGAGTAAAGAGGTATTGCTCATGAGTCCTGCTCATACAAACATAAAATTCTCTTTGATCCCTGGTACCAAAAAAACCCCCACAAAGTTCTCACTGATAAAACCGTGTGAAAACAGAGTCTCTCAGACATGTGGACTCTACACCAGGCAAAATGGCTGGTGGGGAAGCTTATAACCACATTCAGTTGCACAGGGATTAAAAGTTAGCATCGAGGGCTGGGGATTTAGCTCAGTGTTTTTGACGCCTGCTGCGCAAGCGCAAGGACCCGAGTTCGATCCCTGGTACCACAAAAAAAAAAAAAGAAAAAAGTGAGCATCGACCAAATACCTCCAATGCTGTGAACTGCTGTGCTAAATCCCTGTGAGCTACCTCCAAAGCTTCTGCGGACACAGCAAGAGTGCCACTCATTACTGCTGACTCTAGCAATAACCAAATAAAGAGTCACAAAACTACTGACAAGGAGAAAACCCAAAGGGCAAAACTGAGGCTTGCTATGTGGCATATCAAAGGGATGCTATACTTTAAAATTCCTTTTTTTTTTTTTTAGTTTACTGTATTGGGCATCGAACCCAAGACCTTTGCACTAAGCTAAAGCCCCAGTCTTTTTTTAATTTTTTTATTTTGAAACAATGTCTCCCTAAGTAAGTAAACTGCCAAGGCTAGGCTTGAACTTGCAATCCTCCTGCCTCAGCCTCCCAAAGTGCTGGGATTAAAGGGGCATACCACCGTGCGGTCTTCAGTATAAGATTTTTTTAAAGTGTGGGTGTTTCAGAAGACAATTTCAAGTTTCTTGAGATGTCTCAACTAATCTACTTCTAAAGCAAAAATAATGTCTCACTCCTTCATTTCTGTTAACTACCAAAGGCTCAGGAAGAAAAGAAACCAGTGTAAAGAAAGCTGTAACTAATTACATGAATAGTTTCAGGTCATTCTATCTTTGGAAATCTGAATGTGTCCTGTATTTATAGGTAGTTTGATTTTGCTAGGAAATCAGAAAAGATAAATTACAAATTCAAAGCCAGGTGTGGTGATACATGCAAGTTATCTGCCTGTAATCCTAGCACCCAGGAGGCTGAGGCAAGAGGATCACTGCTGAGATCAAGGCCACCCTGGGTTACATAGTGAATTCAAGGCCAGCCTGAACTACACACCCAGTGTCAACGAAAAAACTCCAATTGCAGAACTGCTGATACTGTTGGTCTGCTTAAAACTACAATTAGGTGGATCCTTTGAAATATTTGATCCACAAACAAATGATGCACTATAATGACAATATGTGAGAGTAAAAATTTTAAGAAACCCCTAATTTACAGATACCCTTATTTGCAAAGGAAAATGAAATTTTAAAATTATTTTTATGCTGAGAAATAATAAAAAAGGAAAATGTAATTTAAGTAAAAAAAACCCCAAGTCTGAACCTTCCTGCTAAGTGTGGGCAATTAGAAATTATTTCACAATATTTCATCTTTCATTAGATTAATGTTTCAGAGGGTTCTTGGGACAATTTTGAGACAGTATATTTGAAAATGTTAACGATACAATTACTATCAAGTCAGGAAACTGTTCATTCATTCAACTAATATTCACTGAGTGACTATTATGCGCCGTGTCACTACCTCTTCCTCCCTTTTTTTTTTTCTAAAGAGAACGGGTTGGGGCCAGGGATTTAGCTCAGTGGTTTCGCTGCCTGCTGCACAAGCACAAGGACCCAAGTTTGATCCCCGGTACCAAAACAAAAAAACAAAAAAAAAGAGAGAACAGGGGTTGGGTGTTGTGGGGAACACCTGTAATCCCTGCACTGGGGAGGCTGAGCCTGGAGGATCTCCTTGACTTCAAAGCCAGCCTGGGCAAGCAACATAGTGAGTTCAAGGCCAGCCTGAACTACACAGTGAGACCTTGTCTCAAAAAAGTAAAAATAAAAAACCAAGCCCCCCCCCATCAAAAAAAAAAAGAACAAGAAGCCAGGCGTGGTGGCACACATCTGTGATCCAGCACTTGGGAGGCTGAGGCAGGAGGATCACAGTGAGTTTGAGGCCATTCCAGGCTACATAGTAAGTTGGAAGCCAGCCTGAACTACATAGTGAGATCCTGTCTCAAAAAACCAAAACAGCACAAGAACAAGAAGGCTGAGAACGTAGCTGAGTACTAGGTCACTTTCCTAGTATGAGCAAGGCCTTGGGTGGATCCCCAGCACAAAGCGGGGAGGGGTCCAAGATAAAATAATAAAGAAAATGATAACATTTTCTTTGTCTTAAGGTTTTTGTTATTACTGGATTATACATCCTTGCCTGGAAAAAGAAAAAAATTTCTCATCCCTCCACCCAGCTTCCTCTTCATCCAGCATTCACCACAAACATCTTGCTTTCTCAGAATATTTTCAGGAATTCTATAAACCTCATTTTCTTACCTTTCCACCAGGTGGTACAACATCAAAAAGAAGAAAGGAAAAGAAAAAACACTGTTATCAATAATTGATCCTAAAAGGGCTGGGGATTTAGTTCAGCGGTTTCGCTGCCTGCTTCGCAAGCGCAAAGACCCCAGTTCGATCAAAGACCCCAGTTCGATCCCGGTACCAAAACAAAACAAAACAAAACAAAACAGAGAATGATTGATCCTAGGGCAACATCTCTCCACCTTTCTAGAGAAAAGAACTTTTACTGCTACAGTATGTCAGAAGTGCCAGTGTTATTCTTATAAGCATAATCAAATGAAGACTTACTTAACCTTACATAAAACAAATGGTCTACAAAAACGTTTGTTGTATAAGTTTTACCTCATTATTCACAAATCTTATCAGGAACTTAAAAAAGAGTCAATTCTTTAAATAAACCAATGCCCATTAAAATTCAGAATTTAGAACACTTTTTCTACCCAGCAAATAACACTTATAACTCAGTACCTTGCATGTGTTATGCCAGAATGGGAAATATACAGGCAAAAGGGCTTCAGGGTATCCATATTAAACTTTTTAAGCCAGAAACTAGAACTTATTGTCCTGATTTTCGGCACAATCCTTCAAAAGACATACTGTATTAATGTTTTCTCATTCTAAATGCCATATATATAAAACTCATGTAATATATATTGTATGAATATTACAAATACACATGCTAGAGGAATATTACACCAAACTACTGCATATGAGTAACATAGAACCACTATATGTACATAAATCTTGAAAAAAAATGTCTTTACTTTTTAAAACACTAAAGGGTCCTCATACAATTCCAACCTAGATATTCCAGCCCTTGTGAAGGAGAATGTCATGGCGGCAGAATCTAAGAACTCGAAAGTTTTTTGCAGATTAAGACCATCCTCTGGACTGGACTTCAAACTAGCACATGCTTGCTTCCACGTGTCAAATGTCAACAGCAACATAAGTGGAAGCAGAAAATACGAAGTGAAGGAAAAAAGAAGAGACCAAGAAAGAGAAAAAGGAGGGTAAGAAAACACAAGGACAAGCCATTTTTCCTTAAAGGGGCGGGGGGTGTTTTCCAAACTGGTGCCCCTTAGCACGCTCTCTACTGAAAATAAGAAATCATACTTTAGCCTGAGAAACAATAGAGCCGGGACACCTACTACTCCGCGCTTCACTTAGACTAAAAGTCGTTGCAGATTAACGGCCCTTGACTTCACTATTGCCATCGCATCTTCCCCTTCTGGTTGGGAACTAAGGCTGAAAAGACTACAACTTTCGAATCTTAGAAAGAAACTTGACCTCAGAAAGTGGTTCAGTAAAACTTAAAAGGTCTGGCAAGGACACCCTGGTCAGATTCCTTTCCCGCCACCGGAAAAACCCAACCTCACACCGTCCTGCTACTAGACTACTTCTCTTGCTTCTAGTCTCGAGGACTGTGTGATAGAAACGTCTGGTGCGCGCCTGTTATTTTTTAAAAGCTGTAAGTCTATTACAGTACAGCCTTCTCTGATCTGATGTGAGCGCGGCCTGCTGGCCGGGCGCCCTGGTGTGGTTTCCGGGGCCAGCAGGCCGCGGGTTCAAGCGCCAGCCTCCAGTCCAGCCCAAGTGCCCCGTCTGGAAGTCCTCCGTTTAAAAACAAAACAAAACAAAACAAAAACACCACGGTCACGACCGTGCAAAACTGGCACAAGTTCCCTTCTCATCTCCCAACTCATGCTTCCCACGGCATGCTTCCTCCAAAAAAGGAAGAATCCGGCCTAAAGCCCAGCTCTCGCCGGCTAGTTTTTACCCAGCACCGGAGCTTGTCTGCAAAACCTGCGAGCACCCGTAAACTTAACTTTACAGAAAACGCAGAGCCTGTTCAGTGAGCGCCTACCACCACCTAGCCCAAGGGGCCCTGGCCCCTCCCCCACCGCGCGCCCCGAGGCCACCACTGGGTCGGTCCCCGAGCACTCGGAGGCCACAAACCACGGAGCAGACTCTCAAGGAGGACGGGCGGGGGCCGACGCCTGGTTCGGAGCTGCTCGGCCCCAGGCGGAGGCGCACAGGCCATCTGGTGCGGAAGGCAGCAGCCCGCGGCGGCCTCCCCACCCTTCCTCCCGGCGCCCTCGCCCACAGGCAGGGGCTCCGGGCACATTCCCGGGACCCAGAGCGACAGAAGCAACTCCTCGGCCCCCTCCTCCGTCCCGGCGAGCATCCCCGGCACGCCGGGCGAAGACACGTGGAGCCCGGGCCCGAGCGCCACTCACTTGCTGGCCGGCGCGGGACTTGCCCTGGGGCGCCCTCCTGAAGAAGGAGGTCCTGGCGGTGAAGAAGAAGTCCTCGGCGTCCTCCTCCAGGCTGCTGTAGCCGCTGCTCATACTGCTGGTCCCGGCGCGCAGGCGGCCAGGCAGGGGACCCGGCGCCCGCCCGTCCGCCCCGCGGGGTCCCCGGTGCGCGCCCCAGCCCCGGCGGGCAGCCCGGCTACAGCTGCGGCCGCCGCTCACTCCGCAGTCTTAGCCTCTCCAGTCGCCAGCCCCGCCGGCCGCGCCACGCCCCCGGCCCGGCCACGCCCCCGCCCGCGTGGCCCGCAGCTCCCGCAGCCGCAGGTGGCCGGGCCCAGCCACACCTCCCGGCTGGGCGCGGCGGGGAGCTGCTTTGCCCCACGGGAACCCGGCTCGCGGGCTGCGTCCAAGGGAGTGGAGCTGGGTTGGGGTCGCTTTCCCCACGACCCGGAAGTTGCAAATTCCTCTCCGAGCAGTCCGCCCGCCCTCACCCCCACCTTGCCAGCTGGAGTTTTGGCGAGGGCGAGAACGGAGCAGAGAAGTTTTTCCGCTCCCGTTCGAGGGCTAGCAGTGAGGTCCCCCCGGTCTGCGGGATCCTTAGCCCAGCCAGCGCCCCGAGGCCGCCACGGCCCCCTCCTGGAGCTTGAAAGTTAGCAGAGGAGTGAGGCCATAGCTTCTGGGTGGAGTTTATTCGAATGAAAACATCCTTTCTGGTCGTTCATTGGAGCTTCGGGTTTACCTTCGCCCTCACTCTAGCTAACGCTCCTTCAAAGGACAAGGGCCGAGGCCGTTGTGACCTTAGAAGACTTTTGGTGCAGCCTGAACTAGTTCTATAGTTAGAGGACAATCAAGTACTTACTAATCACGATTGTTTTGTAAATGTCCCCTTCCAGGGTCGAAGGGAGGGGAGGGGAATGGGAAAAAAAGAAGCGGCAAGATATATCACGTACAGGTACAAATTCTCTATGATGAATGTTATCGTATGTATATCTGAAATGTACCAATAAATGTTTTGCTTTAAAAAACAAAATGTCACACAGCCAGCCTTACATTGTGGTCACTTACGAGGCAGAGGTTAAATGGTGAAGGTAAGGAAATCGGAATTCTGTGCATTGGCGAACAAAAAAGTACATTTTTCTTAAAATCCTTCCAGTGAGCTAAGCCTCTTTTAAAATGCGAATTTCCCCTTCAAGACACCTGAGAGAACCAGTCTTCTGCACCTTGATGTTAGTGGATTGATTTAAATCCTAGTAATTTCTTTGCTGAGATCTTGACTGAAGGACTGTTTTGAAGCTTTGGCGTGGACTACTATAGTATGCAGGTTTCAGCAGGTGTTTCATTAATAGGGAAAGAAATGTGTTAAAAGAGAGGAGGGTTTCACGCGTTATACTTAAACTTTCTTGCGTGATGTCCCCCTTATCCTCAACACAACTCTGTAAGGTTTTAGTGCTATTTTATGCCAGCTTTACATCTAGAAAGCATCTGAGGCAGAGAGAGGAAGATAAGCTGCAGGCTGCTGCTCTCTGTTTTGCTTTCTGCTGTTGCTAAAGTCTTCGCTGTAGCTTTTGCTGTAGTTCTTTTGGGTTCTCCACCTGGTGCGTGGTCAACTGGACCAGAGATAGAAGGAGAAATTTTACTCTCAGGCTGAAAGGAGGCTTTCAGACCTCCCTGCCTTCCATCAGGCTTACGCACACAAACCCCTTACAAAATACTCTATTACTCCAAATGATTCACGACCACCGAAATAACAACCCACTTTATAAGGCCTGCATCAAAGGCTTCTTCCAGACACAGGTGCTGAATGGTTACAAACCAGGAACCTGACTGTCCCTGTGTGTGCCATGCAGGTAACCTAATGTAAGGGAAGAGTACGATTTACTTACTTTATGAAAGATTTTTCTTATTTGAATTCTATTATTTCATTACTCAAATGTTACCAAACTGCATTAATACAAACCTTATCAAGTACTCCAATTTAAGAGTAACATATAGGTTAAAGAATCTGAGTAAATGTGTTTTAATGTAGATAAAAAAGAAAGGGGAAATAATCTCACCCAGAACAAATTATTTTAAGTCTCTGAGTACTTTCAGGAAAAAATATTAAAAGGAAAAATACACTTAAAATATTTATGATCCACACCGCACCATAAAAAATTTTTTGTTTTATTTTTGTTGTGAGACAAGGTCTTGCTGTGTAGCCCAGGATGGTCTACCTCCATCTCTAGTGTGTTGGGATTACAAATTTGTGTCACCACACCAATCTCAAAATGATTTTTTCAGGTTATTTTTAAATTCCAAAAGAATTGAATTTTTAAAAAAATGGTGGCTGATTGAACCCTGGAGATTGGACCCAGGGCCTTTCATAGACCTGTATCCCCAGCCCTATTTTTCTATTTTGAGACAGGGTCTTAGTCACTAAATTGCCCATGCTGGTCTTGAACTTGTGATTCTCTTACCTCAGCGTCCCAAAATGCTAAGACCACAGGCATGCACTACCACAGTGGGCTAATTTTTTGTATTTATCAACACACCATCAGAATCAATTATAACAAAAACTGGGGGCTGGGGCTGTAGCTCGATAGTAAAACACCTGAATGTATGCGCAGGCCCTAGGTTCAATCCTGAAAAGGATGAGGGGTCGGTGTGTGGGATGATTTTAAAATGAAGAAATACTGCTTTTATGCAACAACAACAACAACAAAAATAAATGGGAAAAAGAATTGGCGTTCTAGGAGCTGGAGGTGGTGGCACATCCCTGTAATCCCAGAATTTGGGAGGCTGAAGCAGGAAGATCACAGGGAATTCAAGGCCAGCCTTGGCTACATAGTGGGTTCAAGGCCAGCCTAACAACATAGTTAAACCCTGTCTCAAAAAAAAAGAATTGGCATCTGTTTTCTAAAAACAGCATAATAATCATAGTTCATATTTTTCTTATAGCATTATGAATAAAAATATTAAGAGTTTTAAATTTTTGGCTCATGAAATTAGTGTTTGTAAAAATTCAAAATACCATTCTAAACAACTGGATATTTTTAACATTTAAAATTCAGGGAAGGTGTGGAATAAATACATGTAGTCAAGTTCACTTTTGAAAGGATTTGTTGTCAGAGAATTGAATTTGTAAATGGACTCTGTCACTATAAATTTTCCAGTGATACAAGAGCCTATTGATTTAAATTTCTAGCCTAGTCATCTTTTATTCTTATGTTAAACAGGGAATGTATTTAAAACATGGTAAATATATTCAGATATTATAAACATACACAAATGTTTTATTATTTTGTCTTGTACATCAAATCATTTCCTTTATATTAATGTAAAAGAGGAGGCTTTATTAAAATTGTTCTTAATTGCATTGCTGAGGATTGAACCAAGACTCGCTCATGTTATACAAGAGCTCTACCACTGAGCTGTCTCCCCAGACAAAAGTTTCAATCCTTGTTCACCAGATAGGCCATCATGAAAAAAATTCTATAAATGTGATTATCCATCAAAAAGGTTAAGGGCTGGGGATTTAGCTCAGTGGTTCTGCTGCCTGCCTTAAAAGTGCAAGGACCCAAGTTCCATCCCTGGTACCAAAAAAAAAAAAAAAAGTTTAAATTATGTTCAGATTCTCTACTACATATCCAAGTCCACAAATAATAAAAACAAAAATATAATAAATACAGAAAAACATTTGAAACACAGTTTACCATTTGACTAAATATATCTAAAAGTAAAAATTTTCTTCTGTCAACTTGTCCTAATAAAGGTACCATAACACCACAAAGGAAAAGCTTTCTGGATTTTACTATGTAAAAACGTAAATATTTTTAGCATACATACAATGTACAGGCCTAAAAGATAAGGAAAGAACTGAGGGAAATATTTGTAACTTTATTGGCACAAGGCTGATAATTAAAATATAAAGATCTCATGTAAATCAATAAAAATATTGAAAATATTTGAGAGAAAAATAGGAAAAGGATAAGTAGTTCATAAAGGAAAAATATATAGCCTCATGGCAGATCACACACCTATAATCCCAGGTACTTGGAAGGCTAAAGTGAGAATCACAAATTTGAAACTGGCCTGGGCAACATACCAAGATCCTGTCTCAAAAAAGAAAAGAAAAATATTAGCTCATCAGTCATTTATATACATAGTATGTATATATGTATATAAAACATAGGAATATGTATGTATATACACATATTTTAGTGGGACTGGGAATGGAACCCAGAGCCTCATACATGCTAGGCAAGTGCCCCATCACCAAATTACATCCCTGTCTCTTTTTACTTTTTATTTCAAATACAGTCTCTATAAGTTGCCTAGGTTGGCCTGACACTTGTAATTCTCCTACCACAGCCTGTTAAGTAGCTGAGATTACAGGTATGCTCCATTATACCTGGCTAATCATCTATATACTAAAATATTTATGTAGTCAACAAATATTTATTGAGCATATATTATCTGCCAGACACTGATCTCAGCACAAAGATACATTACAGACAAAACAGACAAAAATTCTTATATTTTAGTAGGGGTTGGAAGGAGACAGGCCAAGAATAAGAGAATTATATAGTAAGTTAGGAGGTAATAAATACTCAAATAAATCATTAAAAAGATAAAGAATGTTTTATATAAGCCAGGCGTGGTGGCACATGCCTGTAATCCCAGCACTCAAGAGACCAAGGCAGAAGGATTGCCATGAGTTTGAGGCCAGCCTAAACTGCATAGCGAGACCCTGTCTCAAAACAAAAAATACAAAAAAATGTTTTAAATCGACAGTCTCACTGAGGTCTCCTTTGGGCAAAAATGAGTAGGAGGTGAAGGAGGGGGACATACAGATTTTTATAAGAAATGCATTTCAGGCAAAGAAAACAGCAAGTGTAAAGGTCCCGAGGCAGGAGTGTGCTTGGGATTTTCAAAGAAGAGTTGCAGTATTTCCCAATTGGGCATAGGGACAAAGAAGTTACTAATCCCATAATGCCTTGAATGGAATAGTATAGACCTTCATTTTGATTTTTACTCTGAGAGGAGAAATTACAGCACATTTTGAGCAGAGGAATGACAATATCTGACTCAACACCCCACCCCCATGCTGGGGCTGGAAGGGAGTCACACATTCTAGGCAAGCACTCTACCACTGACTGAGCTACATTCTCAATTCTGACTCATCTTTTTATGTTTGTTTGTTTGTTTCATTTTTTGAGACGGGGGTCTTGGT